GCGCAGAGTGCGCGCCCACCTCCTGGCTGTCAATCGCGACACCGTCGGCGAGGACGCCCCCCCCACCTCGATGGGGACGCCGCGCCATGTCACCGCGATGTGCCATTGGCGCGGACCCTGCGCTACGGCGCCAAGGCGGCCGCCGCGCGCCCCCTTGCGCGGCCGTCGTGATGGGGTCGCGCGAATTGCAATGTGGCGCGCGGCGACAGGGGAGGGGTGCCGAAGGGGGGGCGGGGGGGGGGGCATGACCGCAGGGGGCGGGGCGCGGCGCGCAGCAGAAGAGGGGGGGGGGCGCGGCAAGATATGACCCAGCGGCGCGTCACGCAGACGCGCTCTCCCGACGCGGCGCCGAAGAAGAATGCGTCGTTGGAATGGGTGGAGGGAGGGGGGGGCACGCGAAGCAAGGAGGAACGCGGGGAGGGCCAGGAGGGCCAATATGAAGAAGGGAAACGAGCCACGCGAAGATAACCACGAAGAAAAAAAGAGAGGGGAGGAAGAGTGGAGAGAGAGGGGGTGGGTAGGAAAACGGTGCATGGGAGAAAACGCGCGGGCGGGGAGCGCCCTCGGGCACGCGCAGGGGGGCTGTATAGTAAGCGCGCATATGAGTTCGGTCGCGAAAGCGCACGCGCGGTGGCGCGGGGCCGATCGCCCGCGCAACTAGAAACAATGGTGCGCGACGTGCGCGCGAAAGCCTATTTTGATGCATAATCGCAAACGGGTTCATGCGCGCGCGGGGCGCTGACCCAGGGGCGCGCGCGGGCGACCATGGCAAGGGTCTGCCGCGCGGCCGCAGGGCGCGAAGTGACCCCCCCCCCCCATGTACTCATGACGGCCCTGCCCTGTGGAGCCAAGAAGATCATAACTCTCTTGGCAGCGGGCATGTAACTTAGCACACATCCAGGGCACTCCCGCGCGCTTGGGGGTGGGGGGACAGGTCGGTCACGTTGCTGGCCCAGAAGCCCCGAAGGGCCAAGAGGGCCCCGAAGGATGCTACACGGAATGCTGGACACACACAGGAAGGCCCGAGAGCGCCCCAAGAAGCCCAAAGTAACCGATGCCAAAACAAAACAGCCACAATCCACCACGGGAGACCACATGACCGCGCCAAGAGGGGGACCTTCGGGGGACACCAAGAGCCAGAACCAATAAGACCTAAACTGTTTGGCAACTGATCAAGCTACCCCCTGCCTACCTTCCGACTCTCCGAGGGTTCCCAAAGAGATCCCAATATCGCCCCACGGTGGTCCCCGCTGCCTCTTGAGGGCACCCCAAGGCAGCCCAGGAGACCCTGGGGCAGACCCACATGCGTCCAAGAGCGCGCCGTGGGCCCATGAGTGCACCGACAAGCGTCCAGGAACGCAAACTGATACGTAAAGCCTCTCACCTGAGGCCCCGAGAGCCGCCCCAAAGCCCCGTGGCGCGCCCCGCAATGCACGGAGGCCCGCCCGCCCGCCTCATATACAGTCGAGCTCGCAAGTCGCCCAGGCGCCCCCCGCCCCGTCGCAAGCCCTGCGACCCCGCCCCCACCCGCGAGGCACCCAGTGGACACCCAGCGAAACCCATAAAATCCTACAAAAGACCCCTCATGAACCACACCTCAGGCACGGAAGCGCGATGCGCGGAAGGCCACGACGCCAGCGCAAGTTGATGCGCCTCCATGAAACATGGCTGCGCGGCCAGAAAGTCGCGGAGGGGCGCCGAAGAGCGGCGGTGGCAAGGCGCACATCGCGCAAGGGAAGGGGAAGGGCCTTCCACGCGACGGGGCGCGAGGCGCAGAACAGCATCGGAAACGATTTGAAAAGCGAGATGTCCGAGGCGAGAGCCCCGCGGTCGACGATGTTACGATTGCGCCATCGAGCTCAATATGCACTCTGCGGGGCTGCTCCATGATGCGAAGCGGCCATCGACAGCGATAAGACGCCATCAACCAATCGTCGCAACATCCCGTTTGTCTCACGACCTCCCAAGCGGGAGCGCTACTTTCGAACGCCCCAAGGTTGCACCATCGAGGCCAATGGAGCGCGATGACGATGTCCCGAGCGATAGCCTCAGTATGGCCATAAGACGTTTTAAGCGCCTCCTCCTCCTCCGATGTTGCAATGTGGCGGGGGTGCCTCAGGCGAAACGCATGCCACCAACATCACCAAGCATCTCATTAAGCAGGCGCCCCGCGTCCTTCCCATGCCCCCCCCCCCCCCCAGCTGGTGGATCTAACGCACGCGGCCTCAGTCGCATGTTCGTTGCGGATAAGTGCACGCATGCCAGATGCACGAAGATGACAATATCATTACCCGCTGGGTGCGCGAGCAAGCATATCGCCATCCACATGCCCGCGTATGCGAATATATGTAATGGTAGCGGGATGGGAAGTAGTTGGACAAAGGAAGGGGGGGGGGCGGAGAGAAGTGATAACGGAGGGTTGGGGGGGAGGGCGAGGGAGGGAATTCAGGGATGCCCGTGGAGTAGGATTGACAAGCAAGAGGCGAACGATGAGTTGGGGAGCAGTGGAGGCAGGGGAAGGCGGCTGCGAGGGAGAGCGAAGCAATGGGGGCACGCTGGCGAAGTGGGAGAAGGGTGGAGGCAAGGGCGAGGACGAGAAAGTTGGATGGAGTCAGCGGTAGTGGATGACGGCGACGCGGGAGGGATGGCGGCGGCAGAAGGGCGCATGGCGGGGGTGCCGAGGAAGGCAACAATACAACGAATCCACTGCCGCCGCTGCCGTCGGCCGATGCCGCTGCCGCCGATGCCGCCGCCGACGGCCGACGCCGTTGCCGCGGGGCCCAACGGCAGCAACTACCGCCTGCGCCAACTGATATCAACGACCAGTGCCGACGCCAGCCTCCGACCAACAATGCAGAGATGGCAGCGCCGACGGCGACGGCGACGGCCGACGCCGACGGCCGACGCCGACGGCGACGGCGACGGCGGAGGCGACGGCGGCGGCGGCGACTGCGACGACGACGACGACGAGGGGGCCGACGGCGACGGCGACGGCGACGGCGATGGCGACGCGACGGCGACGGCGACGACGACGGCGACGACCACGGCGCGGAAAGACAGGGCGAAGCAGAAAAGGCGAGCGAGGGCCTGTCGTGCCAGCCCGAGAAGCAGCGAGCAAGCGGCCTCCCTGTGGAAGGCCAAGTTCAAGAGCGAAGAGTAGAACTGCTGCACCAACATGCCGTCTAACGTCAAGAAGTCGCTGACCTGCTTATGCATCTTGCGGCCTCGTGGCATATGGCCAGCGGCGGTCAGCGTCTTCACCTCCCCGAGGTCAACCTTGTTGTCCCTCACGTGCACTGTGAACGGCAGCAGCCCCGCGTAGTTGTTCCCGACCTCCGACCCCCCAATCGAAACCCTGGGGGTGCAACAGGAAATGGAGCGGGCGGTCGAAGGATGATGCCCCCCCCCCGCCATCGCGCGGGCGCTCTCCACCCAGCAAGCCGAGACCAAAGACGGCCCTCCCCCTGCCCACGGGCCCGATCACCCAGATCCTCCCGCAGACCGGCCACTCATCAAATCTGCCTGCACGTCCACCCCTCTCCATGGACCCAGGCGCCTCAGCCCCGAACCTATATACTCGCTCCTCCACTCCACCCCGTCATCCTGACATTGCCCTCCTTCACTCTCAATGCCGAACCCTGGAGAGGCTGTCCTGCCCTGACCCCCCGCTCACATCGCCACCCGCCCCCCCTCCGACAACCCCCCGCTGACGCCGAAGAACTTTCGGAAGCACCGCCGTGGCAAGTGAAAGCACACCCACCCGCCGCCCCAGTGACCTTCACGGCGTCAGGGTCGAGCCTCATGGAGAAGCTGAACGTCGACGGCAACCTCGCGATCAAGCCGCCCAGCAACTTGGCCAAGGCCGCGCGCGCAGGCGCCGAGCTCACCTCGCCCATCCTGGACGTGCCGCCGAAAGCAAAGCGGTGGGCGAGGACCATCAACCAGCGAAGGGAGACGGTCGGGAAGGTCAACGCTCGGGCGGCGTCCTCTGCACCGTCACCATCTCCAAGAGGTAGACTGCGACGAAGCGGGACCGCTCCCAAGTTGAGCTTCGCGCAGGTCTCGGCCCACCGATAGAATCTCTTGTGAAACCACTGGCTGCCATTGTTGAGCGGCTTTGGCAGCCCGAGCTTCTGGCAAGCGTCCTGGATGTCCACCCACGCGTACCCGCCGTCATTCATCAGCTCAAAGACGGCGACCTGAACTTTGATAGGAACAGATCCTGGCTGTCCCTGTACCAACTCCAACTGGTGCAACTGGTGGACGCCCTTCAGCCTGGCGTAGTCCACGCGTTCGCCTGAGGGCAGCATCATCTCGTCGACAGTAGTGCCCCCTGGCTGCGAATAGAATGCCGCAGTAAAGAAGTTCTGGGCGAACGTCACAGGGCCCGTCGAGTCAAGATCGGACGGAGCAACCAGCGCCTTCCCCCCGTGCTCGCCTTCCCCGACGTCGATGCACCACTCCTGTGCGAAGGTAAGGCGGGACATGGCAACACCACTGGGTCGGCGGGGAAATGACGACGGTGGGCCAACGGGCGGGGCGCAATCTATTACGACGACGGTGGAGGGCGATGGGGGCGGGGAGCGTGGAAACGGCCGAGCGTTCCAAGAATGCAAGTGGCGAGGAGAGAAGTGAACAGGGTGGGGTGAGGGCACGGGGGCGCCAATCCACCTCCTGCCCATGCAGCCTGGGGCGGTGGCGCTGAATAGCCGACAGGCCACCAGAATGCAGTGCGTACCATGGTACCATGATGCGCCCAATCGCCCTGCCACGCGCGCTCCCCCCCCCCCCCCCTCTCGACCTGCAGCGCGCCTGAAATTCAACCC